TCCCTACAGCTGCCCAAAGCTATGATGCTCAAACCACGAACTACATCTACTTCTACCAGGTTTTTGGTCACATTGCCCATATCTGCTTCTGATGTATCAGCAAAACAAGGGTGGCCTAGTTGAATTTTTGAGGGAACATTTTATTATCAACTCACAATGCCTGTTTTGTTGCTTCAGCGAAACTACACAGTAAATGTTTTGCAGATATTTTTAGCTCCTGGGGCTTTCAAAGTAGATGTGACTTCGAGAGCTAAATATTTATTTTCTTGTTCTTTGCTTTTAGGGATAAATTTTGTTCTTTTAAACTATTTTGTTGGAAAGTAGTTTAGTGGTTTTGATAAGCTTACTGCTATCAATAACATTCACTCATATACAGACAGAACCTCAAAACCAAATGCAAAGTCTTTGTCTCTCTGTCAAAGCGCTTTAGATCTAGATGAAGTATTAAGGCTAAAACTGATCAAGAGTCGACCCAATGGAGTATCCTGCGCTTTTGATTTCACAAGATGATAACACCGCATGTGATTATAACGAGGTTTCAAGGGCCTAAGTATGTTTTCAAGAACATTCGTAAATACAGACGTCTTTTGCCAGCTAATTCAACAAATCATTAAAAGCTGTACACACAAGTAATTCAAAATACCACTTTCCTGGGTTGGTTTTGTGTTTTGCTAAAAAGACTCTTGAGATGGCGAATAATATGTAGTTTTTACAGGGCGTGTTTCCATGTCAAAAATATTCTTTGCTCCGCGTGACTTGGAAAAAGACGTTTTGGTTATCTAAAGCCTTAGAGTAAAACATTTTAGTAAAATGATTACAAGGCACTATCTTCATGAAAATTTTCAGGATTTGTTTAGAAATCCCAGAGAGCAACTAATTCTGAATCCTTCGGTGGAACAGCTAAAGGCAGGAACACAAGGCTGAAGAAAATCTTGTCCATCATCATTCATTGTAAATATGTTGCTAAAAAAAAAGAAATAGTTTTACTTTGGTACTTAAAATTGCTATTTTGACCGAATAATACTTACTCAGACAATACGAAACTAAATTTGGACATCTAGGGCATTTTAGAGTAAAGATTACTTGGAAGAAAAAACTTTCCCTCGATATAAACGAGTATGACCATCGGGAATTTTATAACAAAGTTTCCAGCTCAAACCTCGAGGAATTTATTGTTAGGTTATGTACTATAATGTTACTTTTATTTAAAAATATCACAAGAATAATAGAATTTAGAATTCCCCTTATTTCGAAATAGGTTTTGAAATTTGACCGCTTGTCAAGTTTCATGTTTCTAACGCATTCAGGCAGGTCTCCGAATAAAAGTTACGGATTTACCAGACCAAAAATATTACCTTACTCACTGATTTCTAAGAAGGCAAGTGAGGAATGAAGAAAGGGTTCAATTTTATCTAAGAAGCTTTAAAAAATAGGTTGTGCGTTGCCTAGGTTATGTTTACGTAAATTAATACAGGTGCATCGATAAGGCATTTCATGTTGCCCTGGAAACTAATGGGTCGTCTCTTGCTTATGGACTCTGTACCGTTGTTTTGAATGACGAAGAAAGATTTGAAAGATATTTATGTAAACACGATAATCGATTCATCATAAGACATGCGAACATACAGACTACATATGAACGTGTTCCTTATAAAGGGAGATTATTCATGACTTCGATGTTATTCTAATAAGATAGCTGTCTAGAAAGAAGACGTAATGGCTTCTCTTGAAGAGCTGCAGAGTTTCTTAGGAAGAAAAGGTCTTAAGAGGGTTTTGCAGGCAAATGAATCTTGTCTATGGGGTACCAGTGTTGTGGTCATTTA